CCAGAAACAATAAAAAAGTGAAATTCTGTTGCACTGTGATTTGGAAAAATCAATATGACAACTAAAATTAGATATGAAAAAAAAATTTCTTTACAAAATTTAGTATTTTTGGAGTATTTTTGAAAATAAGGATTAATCGTCACTTTTTGGAAATTTTAACCATGCCATTCGAAAGAGCGACCCTAAAAACGTATGGGTTAAACGTATGGGCGTTAAAGGTTTATGGTTTTATTTTGCCCTAAATGACTATGAGTGGTCGCGCAACCCGCGCCTTTTTGGTTCTAGTTTTGATAAAAACAGTTACTGTGATTAGAGTTAACTCCAATTTGTTTGGTGAAACGATTAAATCAAAGGTATATTATCTAGTTTTAAAAGGCCATAATTGATTTAGTTCTATATCTATTATTCAATTAACTAAAAGCAAAAAAAAAAATGTGTAAATTGTAACAACTGCACAAAGTTCGTACATAAAAACTAAACATTTTCCTCTTTGGAACCCCATCTCTATAACTAACTGTTTTTGAGATATTCCATTTGAACAGTTAGCTCGTCGCCCGCGTATATTTTTTTAATATAAAGATATATCTCTCTCTATTAAATAAAAAGATGTAGCCCAATTATGACCTTTTTTTAACTTGCAGATTAAAAAGCGACTTTTTCATTTTTTTTTACTTCAAGGAGTCGTTCCCTTAAGTAAAAAATTAGGCCAAACTTGATCAATTTTTCGACCTTCAGGTTTAAAAATAGGTCACCTGTGACCTAAATTTTGACCTAGGGTAATGACCCTTCGAAAAGCCCTGATGAGGCTTCTTTTTTAGAGCTATATTATATTTAATATAATTCCAGCTTACAGACATTGAAGGTCCTTATTTTACGTCAAAATATAGGTAAATTTTGACCTATTTTTTAAACTACAGGTCAAAAAGAAGCCCCATTAAGACCCTCTGAAGGAACGGTACCCTACAATCGGGTCAAAAAGTATAGAGCCCTCACTTTGAAATCTTATTGTCTTATTATCTTATTATTATTTATCTTCTTATCTTATTTTTTTGTTTAAAAAAATCGTATTGTATAAAAACAACCTGGAAATAGTAGCTACACTATCTATACGCTCCTATACGAAAAAACAAAAAAACAAAAAAATTTTTGCATTTGTTACGAATTTTTGAAGGTGAAAAATACAAGGTTTTTTTCATTATTTTTACAAGTATCAACTTTTTAGGCTTGTATCTCAAGAAATATGTAAACTATCGTTACGATGAATTTTTTCCATATTGTTCAAATCTTTGTGCAATATAATGTTTAACAATGTAATCAATATTTTATTAAATTAACGAGATTATTAACAAAGAAAATAAAAAGTTATCGTCTTTGCAAAGTGTGGCCCAGATTTGAGACAAACTCAAAATTATGCAGAATGTGCTTCTGATTCTGCAACTGAAAGAAAATTTGTGAAAAAATATTATTTTTTATCCCACATGCACTTTTTATGCGCTTTCTAATAGCAGACGACAGGGAGAAAAGTCATTCATTTCTTCGACCGTATGAAAATATCGGCCGTGTTCTCCCAAGGGCAAGAAAATTAGCTGTTCACATGCATTTTTCTTGCACATGGGAGAAAACGGCCGCCATTTTCATACAAGTCGAACAAGTGAATGACTTTTACTCCCTGTTGTCTGCTATCTGAAATAGCCGCTTTTGTGCATTATGAATAAAAAATATCGTAAGTAACACGAGAATAAAGGCAGCCAATTTCTTTACGCTGATTTTTGTGACAAGAGTGGTGTCACAAAACAAGCTCTACTCGTGTCACAAAAATCTCCGTAAAGAAATGGCTGCCTTTATCCTCTTGTTGCTTAATATACTATAAAGAATTATCTAGAAAAATCTTTTCAGTTTTTTGCTTCATTACTCCATTAAAGCAAGGTGCAAGCAGTTGTAAATGTATTCCTCAAAGGCGTAGAACTGTAATATCTTAAAGGAATGGTTATTCTATCTGTCGCAGGTATATACATGCAGGGTCTAAATATTTCTAAGTAACCGAAAATTCCATAGTACAGAATCTTGAACACTTTATCTTTATATAAAAGGAATTTGATCAAATTTGCTTTTAATTGATTTTGCAAAATGTTATTTTATTTTGTAAATAAATTTGCTTAATGCATTTTATTATTTTTGCAAAACTTATGTATTTCTTAAAACATTAAGCTTGTTTATAAATAAACTGACGAAACGTTTATTATCTAATAATTTTTAAAGTTTAGTTATTAATTAAATTTACAATATTGGCTTTCTAAATAAGTTTTACTGAGTGAGGTTTCCAAAAATTAAGTAATGGAAAATTTAATTTTTAAATTGATTTTGCAAAACATCAATTTTATTTTCTAAATAAATTTGCAAAATAATTTTACTAATTATTTTGCAAAATTTATTTTTCAAATTGATTTTAGGAAAAATTCAATTTAGTTTCAAATGAATTAGCATTTTTTAAAAATATTTGTCGTTTTAAACATTGATACAGTGTAGAATCTGGAATCTGTTTAAAGGGTCCGTCATTAATGAGGAGTTTAAAAACTCATTAAGCGGAATGAAAAGTGTTTCAGGTCAGTAATACATACCACTTGGATATTTCTATTAAAGTTTATGTAATTTTGAAGCCTTTCTTTAATAATGTTTCTGTATAACTTTAAGTATAATTTTCAAAATGTGAATTTTACCTTCCTACTGTAAATTCTATGACAGTCAGATATGAACTATTGCGGTAGTTGTGTCTCTTAAGAACGCCTGCTAACATAATAGAATTTTTATGCTTTTGTGTGTATCATTTGCTTATAATGATGCGCTAAATTAGTGTCGGAAACTGCAATTTTTATGAAAAAAAAGGCTGGTGGTGAAGGAGACTGTCTTTTTAAGTGCTTTGCAATGCATTTTAATGTGAGAAGTAGTTATACGGTTCGACAGAAAATAGTATCTTATGTCATCAATCACTGGGAAGAATATCGGGAAGAAGCATTACATAGTTTGGATATTATTAATTCATCGAAATATAAGTTTTACATGGGAAATCCAGGAGTTTATGGTTCTATATGTTAGAATGTCGTGCGGCTGCATATGTTTATAATATTAACGTTACTGTCATACGAAAAACTGAAAACGGTGAATACAACATTTTGCCTTTGAAGAAAATAGGTGCAACAGAAACAATATATTTGCTATTTACAGGACATCATCATCAAAATCATAAATATGGACACTTTACTGTTTTGATTCCTTGCAATGAAAATATTGTATATGTCGAAAACCAAATTCAGTCTGTAGATTATAATATTGCAAACGATCGTGAAATAAATATTGAATGTGAAATTAAGGGGAGACCCCACCTTAATTTTGACCCCTTGAAAATAAAATTATTAAACGAGGTAATATTTTTTTCCTGCATCTTTTTTAACCTGAAAACATATAAGATGTACAAAAATTTTTAATTTAAATTTTTGAAGAGGTTAGAATTTTTTTCTTTTGACCTATTACATATTATTGCAAATCCATGCGAGAAGTTGTTTAGAATGGTAAAATATGCATGGAAAAAAATTTTCGTTAAAAAATATTAAAAACTGTAAGAGAAGATCGATTTTTAATATACAAAACTTTAAATATTGCCGAAATTTCGAAAGCCTTAAATCTTTAATTTTTTTTCCAAATTGTGTATATTTACGTAATTTTATGCTATTATTCAAAAAACATTGTTAAAATTGAAATTTAGCTTATTTTCGTGGTAAAAACCATAAAAATCATAGTTAGAAGCTTTTATGGTATACTTTATATATACCGAAATAAATGCAAAAAGCCATGATTTTTATAGTTTTTACCATGAAAATGAGCTAATCGTCAATTTTAACTATTTTTTCTTCGACTCAGAGCATCAAATTGGACAAAAATAAAGGTTCAAGACTTCCGAAATTTCGGCAAAATTTAAAGATTTGAATATTAAAAATCGATCTTCTCTTACAAGTTTTAATATTTTTTAACGAAAATTTTTTTCCATACATATTTTACCATTCTAGACAACTTCTTGCATGGATTTGCAGTAATATGCAATAGGTCAAAAGAAAAAAATTCTAACCTCTTCAAAAATTAAAATTAAATTTTTTTGACCATCTTATAGGTTTTCAGGTTAAAAATGATGCAAGAAAAAAAATATTTTATCTCGTTTAATAATTTTATTTTAAAGGGGTTAAAATTAAGGTGGGGTCTCCCCTTAATGAAAATGATATCATTGAGTGTGAAATAAACCAATATGATGTGTTACAAGATCTTACCCCTTTGACTATGTTCGAGGATATGAATCTCGAAAATAATAACGAAAATTTTAATGAAATCGAAAATAATCGAAACATTTCTTTATCCGTAAGTTCGGATATGGATACCTGTGAAGACGAGTTGTATTTATTTGAAAAGTGTATTGAAAAGTGTGAAGAATATTTAAAAAATAATACTTGCAATAAGAGACATTACTTCTTAGAGCAAGAAAAAAAAATTATTATATGTGCAAGACAGTATTTTGAATATGAGAAAATAGTTGGACACGCTGATACATCTAAAGTCGTTCAGAGAGCAGCAGATTGTTTACAAATATCAACAAACAGTGTGAAACGTATTACAAGTGATTTTGTAAAACAAAAGGACTTAAAAATTCAGCATAAAAGTCCCGTGTGGAAGTTGAATCTGGGTGCTTGCCGTGCTATGTCCGGGGAGCCCAACTACAAGCTAGCCCCTGACCAGAAACCTAACTTTGTCATGGCTAACTCGGGCTATTTCGACCACATGGGGTGGAAGGCCTTCAATTGAATGCGATGAATTTCTTTATGGTATAATTAGAAGAAAAATTCACCAGTTTTTTATTAATCGTGAGTATCCAACCACTCAAGCTATATCAAGATCTACAACGAGATGTTTTAGATCTCCCTGATTTTAAATTAACAATTTTGAAAAAATGTATGAAAATGGTAAACTTTCCATATGAAAAATTGTGTAAAAAATCAGTTTGGATGGAGAGCACAAGAATAGCAGCACAACGAGATAAATATTTAATTACAATTAAACTACACCGTGATAATGGTTGTAATATATTTTATACTGATGAAACTTGGTGCGGCGTAAATCATAGTAGAAAATTCGGATGGATTGAAAATTTTGTTATTCAAGAGAATAATAATTTTGATTATTATGGAGATCATGTTCAACAAGTTTTTGGACAACGTAGTGGATTTTTTACACCTTCTGGAGCCGGGAAACGTGTTATAATTTTACACATTGGTGGAAAATTTGGTTTTGATGATGGTGGCTTAAAGTGTTTTGTCGGTAAAAAAGGCACAGCTGATTATCACGATGAGATGAATGCAAAACATAAGGAGTGGTTTCGATATGTATTGACTGTGCTTCCAAGTAAATCTGTTATTGTATTGGATCAAGCTCCTTATAATACAATGCTCGATCCGGAATTTCGGAATCCGACTAATCAGTGGTTAAAATCAAAAATAGTTGAGTGGCTAATTAAGCGCGAAGTAAATGTTCCTGAAATAGCACAAAGTTTAAATAAATTGTCAAAACAATCACTTCTTGAGATTGCAAGACCTTATCATTTTCCTAAACAATATTTACTTGAAAAAATTGTAAATGAAATTCGTAGCAGTGACGTTAAATTATTGTGGTTGCCTGTTGCCCATTGTGAATATAATCCTATAGAACTTATATGGGCTTATACAAAAAATTATGTTACAAAACATTTCACGTTAACGACGTTCAAAAATTATGTATTGAAGCAATGAATGAAGTTAGTCCAAGTTTATGGGAAAAGTGTGTGCGGCATGCAGAAAGTGAAGAAGAAAAGTCTCGAAAATCAGATACATTAATTGCCAACAACATTGAGTCAATAATTATAAATACTGCAGATAAGACCATTTCGGATCTAGCCAGGGTTGCACGGTTGCGCGCAACTCGAAGTTTTTTACGTATATTACGTAAAAAATCTAATATACATGAGAAACCTGTAATGAATGTAAAAAAAGATGTCGAACAATTAAAGAAGCGCTAAAAGCATAATATTTGAAAATTACACGTGCGTTGTCAATGTCATGCAATAAATTCGTCAGATTATTAAATATAAATTATATATATGTACAATGAATCGACAAAACCAAAAAGGACAACCGATTCCCTGGGAAGAATTAGGATTTGAACGTCAAAAAACAGAAAAAGGAAAGGCTATTTTGAAATGCTTGTTTTGAAAATATGAATTATTATTTTATAATTCATGATTCTTTAAGTGTTTAAAAGCGCATGATGAAGATGATTTTGACAGGTTTTTGACGGGATAGTATATTGTATTAGTTATGTTTACGAATTCTATTTGTACCATTTGTACAAAAATTTAGAAAATTTAGATAAATATGTAATAAATAATAAATAAATAACTCAATCATAATTTGTATATCCCAAATACATTTATTTATATAACAAGATATAATCTTCATTCAAATTTACCTGTAGGTTCTTAACCTCTCTTCGGATGTATTTCCCATTTTCCTTTTGTGATATAAATGATAGTTCATTCTAAAAGTTTTGACGCGGCCTTGCACCTCTAAACATTTTTTAAATGCAATTTGTTGGGACACAGAATAAAGAAATAGTCAACGGCAATCATGTCAACAAGTCAGCCATTTTGAAAAAGTAAATTACTTATAAACCCTGTAAAAAAAAAAGTATTGGGAGGTACGGGATTCCGTATTGCAAGTGCCAACCTGCCAATGCGGTATTCGCGAATTACCGCATTGGGTGTCGTGGTGAATACGGAAATCAAGGGGTCCCAATGCGGTGCCAGTTTTAAGCTTTAAAAAAACGAAAATACGTGACAGGAGGAAATAATTAGTGTCAGTGGAGAAATATGCGAGTTAAAGGAATGAGAAAACAATAATAGTGAGTGTAAAAATGAAATTTTAAGAAAAAAAGGTAAGTTGAACTGTCAAATATGGGCCCAATGCGGCATAGGCTGATTTCAATGCGCCACAGCAAAAGCAACTTTGACTGGTTTGAATGGCGTGAAATAGGTAAACAAACATTTTCTAACACATTTGTCTCCGTACACAGACACTTTTTACTAAATCTGCCAACGTACAATTGGTAAGCATCTTCTAAATTACAATAATCGAAAATATTGTTTAGATTCATGCAGAAACGTGGTTATAAAATAAAAAATTGGAAAGTAATGTAATGCAAATCATATGTCAGCTGGGCCACTGTGTTCGCTCGATTTGCTCTGCTTGCTTCTGCCCTCTACTGGCGACTTGCACTATGTACCGATTGTGTACCGCATTGAAAGCAGCCTACGCCGCATTGGACTCATATTTGACAGTTCAACTTACCTTTTTTTCTTAAAGTTTCATTTTTACACTCACTATTATTATTTTCTCATTCCTTTAACTTGCATATTTCTGCACTGACACTAATTATTTCCTCCTGTCACGTATTTTCGATTTTTTTAAAGCTTAAAACTTGCACCGCATTGGGACCCCTTGATTTCCGTATTCACCACGACACCCAATGCGGTATTTCGCGAATACCGCATTGGCAGGTTGGCACTTGCAATACGGAATCCCGTACCTCCCAATACTTTTTTTTTACAGGGAAACTGAGCACGTAAATTACTGACGTAATATACTGTAAAAAACTATGTAATTTACGTCAGGTAAATTACGTACGCAACCCTGGATCTAGCTGCCAAACTTGAATATGTATCTGCAAACGAAAATTGTTTTTGGAAAGCCTTGTTATTTGGCTATACATTATTTCATATAGCAGACGACAGGGAGTAAAAGTCATTCACTTGCTCGACTTGTATGAAAATGGCGGCCGTTTTCTCCAATGGGCAAGAAAAATGCATGTGAACAGCTAATTTTCTTGCCCTTGGGAGAACACGGCCTCCATTTTCATACGGTCGAAGAAATGAATGACTTTCCTTCCTGTCGTCTGCTATCAGAAAGCGCCATTTTTGTGCATGTGGAATAAAAACAAAATTTTTAACTATCCTTGCCCAGTACCGGGGCAAGGATAGTTAAAAAAATTCGAATGCTAAAAATGTTATAGAAAATCAGTGTATTTTCGTTTCCTTTGTTTTATTGGATTTAGACTACTCAATATTGATATCTCAAGTAATAAAAATATGTATTGAACATTTTCTGAATTGCAATTATTGTATTATAATTTATCTTAACTAGAATCAGAGGTATAACCAATTTTTTTCAGACGACCACCAATTTCTTGGTCAATAAGCTTCGTTTTCCGTATATAATTACGCATTATTATGTATATCAACCTAAAAAGAACAATTAAACACTTTTTTAAAATTTGCAATGGCATTAAGAGGATTTTACCGTGCCGTATTAGCTCTAACTATCCTTGCCCTGTGAGTCCATATTTCAGTTTTTTCTAAATTTTATGGAACAACGTCAATTAATTTGAAAATAAATACGATATTCGTGTTCAGTAGGAAATTCCACTCCGGAAAACACTTACGTAAATAAATATTCTGAAACTCTAATGTAGAAAACAATATGATAAACATTACGTTGACATTTTAGCAAAACAGACTTTTTTCAAAAATAACCTCTCAACTTCGCAAATTGTGACAGATTGACTTCCAATATTTACTATCATCTTTTGATGTTAAAACTCGAATATACCATAAATTACGCGATTTTTGAGCAAGCCGTCTAAACATAACAGCAATTAACTATCCTTGCCCCATCTTCCACTAATATTAATATTATAATTAATTAAAGCATTATTTAGTTGTAATAAATATAGAAAGTTATACTTTTGTTAAGAAATATGTAAAATGATTAATTTACTATTACTTAATTTTTTTCAATAAATTATTTAATTTCAATAAATAAATGTTAATTGTCACTATAAAAAATCAAAAGTAAAAAATAAATTTTTTAAGGTTTTATTTTGAATTATATATTACTATAATAATCGACTTTAATGTACATATTTGCTACTAATATTTCCAACGCATTGAAAATATTTTACTAGTTACCTCCCTTTTTACCTACACCCTTGAAAAATCTCTCAAAAAAAGTCCAGAAAGTAGTAAATTATAAGTAAGAATAGAAAAGTAACGAAAAAACAGCTACAGTAGTATACTACTGTCATTGAATCCCCTACCATTGACAAAAGGGTTCATGTCGGTTCGCACCTTGCTATAATAAAGTAATAAAGCAAAAAACTGAAAAGATTTTTCTAGATAATTCTTTAAATAATTTTTTTTCTTCAAATTTTACTTTCAGTTTCAAAATCAGAAGCATATTCTGCATAATTTTGAGTTTGTCTCAAATCTGTGCCACAATGTGCAAAGGGGTCGTCCATATACCACGTGGACAGTTTAGGGGGAGGGTTCGCCAAAAATCCACGATTTTCTACGAGGGGGGAGGGGGGGCCAATACAAATGTCCACGTGGACACAAAAGTTTAATTTTATATCTTTTTTTTTATTCAACTTTATTATTAGATTATTATTAGATTGTGATCAGACAATATTTGTAATCCGAAATTTATTTAACTGTCAAAAAAACGCCAAATTCTCTTTTAATTTATATTACAAAATCATTATCGTAAATGCACAAATATGAATGTATGCAAATTTGACAATTAGGAATACAAAGCAACCCCTACAAACTCTTACAAATTCTAAAACAAATAATTTCTATTATTGTTTATGTGAAGGCTTAAAGCTATTGGATTTTAGAAAATTTAAGATTTGTTACCAAAGAGATTTTAAGTATTTCTACTAATATAATAATTGAAGATATATTTCTGCCAAAGTCCTCTCTATAATACTAAAAATGGTATTTACCTATTTAATAATATTTTAAGATAATTTAATCTTTATTGAATTTTAAAGAAGTTTGTTATGAAAAAATTTAAAGAATTTTTTAATTGTATTTCTTATTAAATATCTTTTTATTATTCACTATTTTAAAATAAAAAACCCGATTGTCCACGTGGACAATCAGGGGGGGGGGAGGGGTGCGTCAAAAATCCACGAATGTTCACGAGGGGGGAGGGGGGGTCAAAAAGTGTCTAAAAAGTGTCCACGTGGTATATGGACGACCCCAAAGAAGATAACTTTTTATTTTCTTTGTTAATAATCTCGTTAATTTAAAAAATATTTATTACATTGTTAAACATTATATTGTGTTGCACAAGGATTTGAACAATATCGAAAAAATTCAGCGTAACGATAGTTTACATGTATTTTTCACCTTCAAAAATTCGTAACAAATGCAAAAATTTTTTTGCTTTTTTGTTTTTTCGTATAGGAGCGTATAGATAGTGTAGCTTCTATTTCCAGGTTGTTTTAATACAATACGATTTTTTTCAACCGAGTTATAAGATTTTAAAGTAAGGGCTCTATACTTTTTAACGAGATTATTAACAAAGAAAATAAAAAGTTATCTTCTTTGGGGTCGTCCATATACCACGTGGACACTTTTTAGACACTTTTTGACCCCCCCTCCCCCCTCGTGAACATTCGTGGATTTTTGACGCACCCCTCCCCCCCCCCTGATTGTCCACGTGGACAATCGGGTTTTTTATTTTAAAATAGTGAATAATAAAAAGATATTTAATAAGAAATACAATTAAAAAATTCTTTAAATTTTTTCATAACAAACTTCTTTAAAATTCAATAAAGATTAAATTATCTTAAAATATTATTAAATAGGTAAATACCATTTTTAGTATTATAGAGAGGACTTTGGCAGAAATAT